GAGCAGGAGCATGGAGCATCAACGTGAGGCAAGTCATCATCAGAAGCAGCAACGAGCAGCATGCAAACAACACCATTGAGAGCAGCAGAGAGCAGGAGCATGGCAGCATCAACGCGGTCCAAGAGGACGTTCCTAACCCCCCCCCCCCCACCCCCCCCCACCCCACAAGTAGTCGGCGTCTCACTAGAAGCTACGAAAAGCAGCCTCGGCACGCTAGGGGCGCCGTCACCAAAAACATGATTGTGTTACTTTGACAGAGCCACGCATTTGGCCGTCGATTTTCTCCCATCGAACGTTTACCATTTTGATGCCCTTGACATTACCGTGACCATCGTCTAGGAACTCCTGGCCGGGGTGCTGGCACGGATACGAGACTCATGAACTCAGAAGCATGTTGCAAAAATAGCTACATGTAGCAGTCCTTGGTGAGAGCACCGTAATGTCCTCAGTTTGCATCACTGTGGACCATGGAAAGAATGCCCTGCCGTCAGAGATACCCCAAAGATATGCACGGGTCTCACAAAGCAGCCGGGTGGCGGATGTCCTGGTCATTGTTCAACTGATTCGCAGCCTCGAGAAGCCAGTCCGAATTTGGTTGCGTGCTCGTGTCACTCGGCTATCCAAAATTCGGCGAACACATAGCTGGGAAACACTCAAGTTCTCTGCACCCACGGTAAAAAAAAAACACTGCCAGTCGAGGTCAGAGAATGACAACTGAAAGGTGTGCAGGTGCCGCCAGTCGCGAGTGGCCTCCTCGTGACCATAGTCCACCTGCAGACCAGCAATCTCGAACTGCGGGGCTTTAGATTCGTTGGCATGTCTAAGTCTGAGATGCCTTGAACACCATCGGCCAATGCGGCCAGGGATTGTGCGGAGCACGCTGCTTGGGTGGCTTCCCCATCAGTTCCAGGTTCACGACCTCATGTTTGGCACGTCTGTCACGGGACACAGAAAGCAACGCACTTGAAGCAGATGGGAAAGGCCACGATTCGGCCACGATTAAGCCCCAAGCTGCCTTGGCACCCTGGCGCACAGCTGTGCCGATACAATCATTGCCTGTGTCACCACCTCAGTGTGCGAAAGCACCTATACAATCAATCTGTGGCCTTAGCTTCGTGTGCAAAAAGACATCGACAAACCTCGGGTTTGCTCAAAGTTGTGACATCTGGCCTCCGATGACAATCACTTTCTTGTCCTTGGCGTCCAATGTCTTCGGATCCATGCCTCGATTTGCTTCCGATAGGAAACAATCTCTACAAGCATTGCTACGAACGTCAGGGGCAGGCTTCCACCAAACGATGTAAATATAAAGCATTGCCATCCAACCACTTGCAATGCTGGTTGCCGTTCTTCTTTGCTCCCCACCACCGTCGCCACTTGTTGCTGACATCACCGCCATCCAACAAGGCCTGCACATCATGCATCCCGGAGACCTTTACCTGATCCTCTGCAAATGGCCTTGGTGTTGTGGGTCAGGTAATCCATTGCCAAATGAATGCCACTCAGGTCACGCCCGGCCACCTGTCCACGGTTTGCCGGTTTGCCGGTCCGGTGTTGAATGCATCGGTCACAAAACACTCGCAGGCAAAGGCTCTCAGCATCCAAGGCATTCAAGCGACTGATTGCATGTCTCGGGCGACAGTGGCGCCGACAGCCAGCAATACAGCATCATACTCCTCTAATGCAGAAAGCTGATTCCAAATGTGCACGCAACACACGACCACTTGGACCCGAAAGTTCACACGTGGCATGCACCAAGCTTGCAGCCCGCCTTCAGGAGACAACTTTGTCAATCTGTGCGCTTCGGAAACACGGAGGGATGAGGCGAAGAGAAGTTTGCAACCGATGAAGCATCTCCAGACCAAAGCAGCGGCGCGGAAACACGTCGCTATGTGAAACCATAGGACCGGCCTGTGAGCTAAGCATGTCACGGCCGAATACCCGCGCCGCTGAACGCCCGGGGCCATCGCCGTGGTGTTGCCGTTCCCTGCCCCGTCCTCATGGAAGATGGGGCACGAAGTGCCGCGCCGGTGGTGGCGGTATACCAATCTGTGCTTGCCTGGCCAAGCGCAACTTCTCGGAGACCGTGGATGTCGCTCTGATGGTAAGGAAGTGTGGAAGTTGGTTGACGGCGCCATTTCGTACAAGGGTGTGTGGACGGTCGACAGCGAAGGTGGGTGCACACAACCGTCGCTCGTACAGCGCTGGGACGCCACGGTGCAAAGGCTGGCCACGCAGATGCGGCTCGAGGTGACGGCGCGGCTATGTCGAGGCCACGGCGGCCGGCGCCGACCAAACGCGCGGCAGCCTGCGCCCCTTGAGGCAAAGGGGGAGACGGCGGCCGAGACGAACTACCAAAAGGGGAAAAGCTGCGGGAGCTCCGTTCAAACGGAGCAGGGAACTGTGTGCAACCACTCGCGAAGCAGTAGGGCGTCTCTAGCGCCGGAGAGCCAAAGCAGTGCCAAAGGGCTGTTCAAAAGCCGCGCGCGTGGGCTCATGACTCATGCAAACACCTAGGTTCGACGACGTGAGATGACGGAAGAGGCCTGCAAAGGCATCCCAGTCGCGGGAAAAGGCCGGAAAGACGGTGCAAAAAATTCAACAAGGTCGGCGACAAGAGCGCCGAAGATGAGGAGATATTGTAAAAAGGTGACCTCGCCGATGTGGGGCTGCCTCCGCTGCCTCAACCGCATTCGTAACCACCACCACCACCACGACCCCCACCCCCATGCCACACGCCCGCAGCGCACCACAAAGAACCTGCACGCCGAGTTCGGGCAGGCGCAGGCGCGGTACCCCCTACACACCGAATTTCATTGGCCAGCCGCTCCGGTATATGCAGTTGATAGCAGTTGCAGAGCATGCCGGGTGGAAAGGGCGGGATGAAAATGTACGCCGCCTTCCTCCAGTGGGCGGAGGTTTTGGGCCTTACTGCCAGACCCATCCGGTGCGGGCTGCATCGTGGATACGGCGCCCTCTCCATGGCGAGAGATGCGCGCGCGCGCGCGCTTGAGCACAAACTGACGATGCGATGTACTCGGCGTCGTTCTCCTCCAGGTGATTCCGAAATCGTCGACAGCCAAGTGGCGCTGCCATCGCCGCCACCATGCACCCCAGCTGAAAGACAACCACGGCTGTCGCGATCCCGCCTCCGTGTACCACGATATGCCGACGACAGCAGCTGAATATCCTGAATTCGGACAACGTCGGCAGCAAAGCGGCTGCAGCATCGACATTCGTCGTGCTGCTACATTACACGACGTTCACGGCCACCGCTTGAAAATCAGAGGAACAACTAGGCTAGCACGCCTAAAGCTCACAGATGCTGGTCCGTTCTCTCACAGAACCGTGACTCTTCCACACTTATTCGCGGCTTTGCAGGCATACCTTCCTTATCTGGTGCCCTTCTTGGCCGTTGGTGAAACCCGGGCCGGTGCTTACTCGGACCTACCAATCAATCGATGCAGTAATCTGATTGAATCACTACATGTCTCTGGTCAGGCTATCTGCCCTGCTAACATAGAAACGCGATTCAAGCATTGGCCCCACTCGAGCACTGCGATTGGAGCATTCGCGATTCAAGAGCACGTGCGAGATTCAAGTACTAGCGACTCACACCACCAATACAAGCACTATGGCGGGTTCAGGCATGCAGGATTCGAGCATGCCCAATTCAAGCACTTGTGATTTAAGCACCAGCCCACTCAAGCACTCGAAGTGTTAGTTGCAAGTTTTGGGACTTCAGGGACGGGACTAATTGAGTTTCGGGACTCGGGCTTTTTAAGCGTATTTGACGGTGGGTTTATAAAAATGAACTCCACATTAGCAATGAAGCCGTGTCCTCCAGCAGCTGCGAGGCTCTTGGTCCCATGTTTGTACCCTCGATGTGCGCCTGCTACAGCACCGAGCACGATGCAGGAGGGGAGGAGATGAACGTGCTGCTTCCTGCGGCTGATGCCTCCATGCTCTCTGCGACACGCCCAGCAGGACCAGTGACGAAAGTAATGCCCTCTCGCTTCATAATATCCACTCCTGGGTCGAGACTTGGTTTGCTTCGCAGTCATGAAGCTACGTCGATTGAGCTCGTCACTTCGCTGGACCACGTCCATCTTGTCAGTCTTCATGTTGGGCACTCCATACATCATGAGTCCTGGCACGCAACTTGCCTGGACAACCCAAAGCAACATGATGCAGCATGCGCCACGGGGCCTCCAATGCGATCTGCTCGCTCCAGGACAGTGACACGATGCCCCATCTTGTTGAGCTGATCAGCCGCAGCCAGGCCGCCTCAGTGACAGCTGGATACAGTGAAGACTGGGGAGCAGGGCTCGGGCGCTGGCAAGGCCCAGAGCCCACGATGACAATCCTGATGCAGGGCAGAGTCTCGGTGCTCCGCCATTCACAGAGTGCCGCGTGCTGTCGGGCCTTTTGTCTGTTCGTACCTTGGGCGGACTCGGCACCATCCAGCCCATCTCATAAGCCTTGTCAATGATGGACAGCTCCACGGATTTGATCGCCACCTGCTTCTCCATCGCTTTTCAAAATACAGAAGAGAGGCCAGAGGGGAGCAACGAGACACATGAAATCATATAACCACTGAGTGCGTTGCTGGATCATCAATGATACCAAGTGTGCAGGCACCTGCGAGGTTGTCGGCTATGGTGTGGGGACGACGAAAGCCTACTACTCGTACCAAAGCGCCTTCGCAAGGTGCTGGGCACACCCGCCCAGTGAATTCTGGGAAGTTGTTGGTGGCCATCAGCCGCTTGAAAGCATCGAACCAGGCACCCTTTCGGACCAGGTCGTTCCATTCCTCACACGTGGGCAGGGACGCTTATCGGCTATCTCCGCCTCGTTCTCCTTCGGTCTTCCTCCTCCAAGGGGTGGAGTTTGATTTCGGTCCTTTTTTTTGTTGTTGGTCCTTCTTTTTTTTGGCCCTCGCGTCCTATTATTTACACACGATGCCGGCCGAATGTGTCGCCCCGCTGTGGTGCCGCGTCCCATTTTCCGCACAAGATGCTGGCGGCGTCTGTCTCCTGCTGTGGTGCGGTGTTCGCCTTTTTGGCGGCTGTCATTTACACTTGTTGCTGTTGTTGTTGTTGTTGTTGTTGTCCTTGCAGTTGTAGCTATGGTTGAAGTTGAAAACGTAAATTGCTGGTGGTGTTGTTGTCGTTGGTGTGGTTCTTGTGGTTGTGGCTGTTGCTGTTGCTGTTGCTGCTGTTGTTGTTGTCGTTGTTGTCGTTGTTGTCGTCGTGGTCGTCGTTGTATGTCGTTGTCGTCGTTGTCGTCGTCGTCTTTGTCGTTGTCGTTGTCGTTGTCGTTGTCGTTGCCGTTGCCGTTGCCGTTGCCGTTGCCGTTGCCGTTGCTGCTGCTGTTGTTGTTGTTGTTGTTGTTGTTGTTGTTGTTGTTGTTGTTGTTGCTGTCGCTGTTGCTGTTGCTGTTGCTGTTGCTGTTGCTGTTGTTGTTGTTGTTGCTGCTGCTTCTGTTGCTG